CTACTTCTACTACTACTACTACTACTACTACTACTCCTACCCCTACCCCTACCCCTACTCCTACCCCTCCTACTCCTACTAGTACTAGTACTAGTACTAGTACTACTGCTACTACTACTACTACTACCACCACTAGTAGTAGTAGTAGCAGCAGCAGCAGGAGGAGTAGTAGTAGTAGTAGCAGTAGCAGTAGCAGCAGCAGGAGTAGCAGCAGTAGTAGAAGCAGTAATGGTCGTGGCAGCGGTAGTGGTAGCGGCAGTGGTCGTGGTAGTGGTAGTTGCTGTGGTAGTGGTGGTGGTAGCGGTGGCGATGGCGGCGGCGGTGGTGTTGGCTGTGGTGGTAGTAGAAGTGGTGGTCGTCGTGGTTTCGTGGTGGTGGTGGTGGTAGTGGTGGTAGCAGTACTACTACTATTATTGCTACTGCTGCTATTGCTGTCGCTGCTGTTGCTGTTGCTGTTGCAACTGCTGCTCCTACTACTCCTGCGGCTACTGCCACTACAACTGCTACTGCTACTGCCACTGCCACTGCCACGGCCGCCACTACTGCTACTACTACTACTACTACTACTACCACTACTACTAATAATAATAATACTACTGACTACTAGCCACAAGTCATAAGTAGCAATACTGGCGCTAACAATGGCAATGGTGGCTAAGGCATGCAGAGTTGCATCCACTGGCACTTCAGGCAGCGATCGAAGACTTGCAAGGCTTCGCTGGAGGTGCTGTCCTGCGATGTGACAAGCCATAAGACAAGCGGTTCCAAACTAAGAACTACTCATTCGGAACAAGCTTTTCGCAGACTTCCTTGCTGAAGGCGCATGCGCTCTGGAATGCACTGTTCCAGGACAAGGACCTACAAAATTATAACTGGCACCTTGCTCACAGCTTGCTCATGTCAGAAGGCACAACCCCTGCCGAGGTGCAAGACGAAGATGCTGGCAAGTGAACTCAATTTCACCGAAGGGACCATGTGTGGCCACTTCCTTCGTCATACGCACTGCAGTAGCGGCTCACTAGCGTGACATGACGGCATTCCTCCCACATCTGCACTCGATGCAACAGGCCATGAAGGCAAGCCTAGCATCTCAGTCACATGCATGCCGGCGTATGTAGCTGCAAAGCAGAGGAGGGAGAACATGATCGCTGTGTACATTTCCGCTTTCAAGAAGTATCCTGGCTGATGCCCGGATGGCAGAACATAAGATCTTGAATAGCTGTAACCTTTTGCACGGACAGCAGAAACCGCACTGCCGGTTATGGCTATGGTCTAGATGTGCAACCCTCGTTGATTCACTTTTACCGTCGCTTCATGCTCCCCTCCCTACCTGATGCGTAGCTCGATTCGACGGCAACTCTAGGAAACCAGAATGTGCTTCTGCGAGGCATGCATCCTGCCGCGACGACCGCTTCAGTGACCAGGATGGAATAGGTGGCCCACTTGGCCCAGTAGAAACAACACCAGGCAGAAGTCATGGCCTTTGCCGCAACAACATGCAACACGCAACAATCCGCATCTCTGTGGGCACTTAACAGGACCGCAGACTGTCGGATCCATCCTGCAGCAGATGGCAGCAGTGGCAAATGCTGACGAACTGGGGTCGGAGCCACAGCAAGTGGAACAACAGACGCAGCTTGCATGCACTTGTGGAAGCAGCTGTAGAATCTTCCAGCTCCTCGCAGCAAAACATGACTTGCTCTATGCATAGTGGCACGGAAGAGTGGGCTTGGCAGCCAACACGGACGACACACTCACTGAGTCTAGGCTGCATCTTGTGATGACTGCACAGGGCATGCCAACAAATATAAAAAATACTGGGCTCCTTCAGGCAAAGGCCCCTGGAACCGGGCGATCAACTTGTCCAACGCGAGCGCCAGGACAAAGAGTTTAACCCACACAAGGAACAAGAAAAGTGTCTCCTTGGATGCCAGCGGCTTTTGCATCCGGGCTTGCGCACTCGCCGGATCTGACCCCTCACAGGCGGCGAACCCTCAGCCCTACCAGGTTGGGGGCAGTCGACAGAATTTCACGACAAGCTGCTGATCTGTTATAGCTGCTGCGTTGAACTCCCAGGTAATGGGGTAGCCGCCCAGCTAGCAGAAAGCGCCAGAACCTGGGCTCCAGATGTTGCTGCACTCACTTCTGCAGCCTGCCATTCCAGCCGAAGATCTGCACAAAGCACAGCGAAATTCCAAAGCAAGCGATCAGCTCGTCGCTTTTCTGGCATTCGGCCTGTCATGCCCCGGCACACAGCCATCCCTTGCGTGAAGCTGCATACGTATGACTTAGCTGGCCTTCTGCTCGTCAGCAGTGATCACCTGTGATGCAGATGCTTCGGTGCCGACCCCCGGAACCACCGCCTTTGCTTAACCGTTGTCAAAGCTAGGTCGCCTTGACCCGCAACATGGATGCCGGCACTAGCACAAGGGCCAGCACAACCGCAGACAAGAGAACGAATGCGAAGCTCATGCCAGCGGTGTTCCAGTACGGAGTCTCCTGCTGCGCGATCCGTGTCCGTACACAGTCTCGCTTCATGAAGAAAGCTCCTGCCATGTTGCAAATGCATCTGCCGCAAGGAGGCCAACGAGCTGCGACCCAAAGCTGGCAGCAATCTCCATCCTGCCACAGTGCTTGCGCCAAGGCAAACTTTTCGTTTGTGCGTGATGTCGAACTACCCACGATCAGCCAAGTATCGCCAGCTTCCGCTGCCTGGCTGCTCTCTTGCACTATGCTTGTAAAAAAAAATCAGTTCATAACTGGAGGTAGAAGGAGCAATTGCCACCTGCTCATGACAAAGATGGACTGCAGCGCAGCATAGGCAAGGACAAAGCGTGCAAATGACACCTCAGATGCTCTTGGAGCTGCGATCAATGAAAGGATTCGACATGGACCAATCAAGTGCTTGAGGACTGTTGAATCACGTGCGGCATGTTCATCTGGGCTTTGTCATCTGTTGCAAAGGTCATAGCAACTCAGAGTGGCAAGTGACCCCCACTGAGCCGGCTCCACTTGCGGCCACAGCCGGTGCATCTTCCGGCCTGGGAATCAAACTTCAATTGCACTCCCAAATCTCCCAAACTGGGTGACGGAATACACTGTACCCTTTGATCAAGCGTAGATTGTGCAATTGCGCGCGCAGCGTGGTACCGAGATTTGATTGCGTAGGCCTCATGTAGTCATTGCGCCGGACGGAATTCCACGACAAGACTACTGCATGTTGCAGTAGCGCGGGAACATTCAACTGCCGACCGGTCACGTGCAGCTCAGATCTCAGTCAAGATCGTTTATCCAAAGACCTTCCTTGCATGTGTTCCTGTTTGCTGCCCGCACCCCTATCTCAGCCAGTGCAGAAGCGACGACTGGTGGCTAGTTGCGAGCGGGATCCCCACGTCATGTCCCTACTGGCATCGATGGAACGGACGCAGACTGGTGCAGACCTTGCTTAAGGCTTTATCCTCACTGTGCCGGCCAAACCTGTGTGGCAGATCACCGTGGCGTGCTGCCCGTCAAGGTGGACACGAAGCAACCCAGAAGATGGAGCTGAGCTGCCGCAATCCCTTCAATGAGACTTCCTCCGTCGCCACATTATCGGCGACCATCAAGTTGGTCACCTCTCCTTAGGTTTATCGACGTTGGAGCCAGCACCCCCACATTTGGTAGAGTGAACAGTGAACAGCACGGGCCCTACACCATGAGCAATCCAGCCATGGTGAGCCTGGCGGGTGCTAAGAGGGTGCATACCCAACCCATACCCAACATCATAGACGCAAGATCAAGGTTGCAGCGCAGTCTCGAAGAATATAGAAGAGCTGAAGCGCACAGAACATGGCCATGGCAGGACCAAGTGTCTGCCAAGTTGCCTGGCATGTGTTCTTATGCTGCGCTGCCTCCACAACTGAAGTCTGACCTTGCCTCCTTGACAAACTTCATCTTGGACTGCACTGCCCATGCAATTGCAGAAAAGCAGGTGGTCGTGCTGATGAGGATCGTGGCCGCAGCCTTGTCTCAACTCCGACAGAAACCGGCGGCTGTGACTGGCGATTGGCAATGTACATCTTGCCACTCAGATGTACGAATGTACGTGTCACCAAGCAGCGGAGGCCGTTTGTCCTGTGTAAACCACAGTGGGAGGCGCATCTGCCTGAGTCTTACATAGCACAGTTTGGCTTTCTTGCTTGTCTCACAAATTGAAAACTGAATTCACTTCCTTGGAAGTCAAGACACAGAGAATGGCTCGACTGCCGTGACCTTTGCTCTTTTGCGGATCTCCTTCCACAGACCGGACGAGCTGTTGAAACCTGAGACAACGGGGCTGCCTGCCGAGCTGGGTTGCACCATGCCTGGGCAGCCTGATCTTGGCTGCTGCTGCGTCAGGTCTCCAACGGCATCCTCCTGCCACTCAGCAGTTGCGGGAATGTCCGATGCAAACCGCCTCATTAACCTGAAGTTGCTTCATCATCTGCTCTCCTGAAGCATGTTCGGTTGAGCCTCTTTGCGCAGCAGTGGGTGAAGATCCGTTTCAGTGCCTCCATCTGCATCCAAGACCACCTGCTTCGGGCGTGCTTCGGATGAAAACTACCGGACGGTTTGGGCCGTGCCTGCGCCACGTGTGGCGAGGGGGCGCCTCACAAGCACTGCCAGTGTCAGTCGCACGAGATGAATCCAACTGGCAGTTGTTGAACCCAATTCCTTCCAAGTACCGACACTCACGCAGACGCAATGCCGAACGGCCCTCCAAAACATCATGAAAAAAGCCGAAAGGCAGAACGAGGTTGGTATGAAGATCAGAAGCAGAAAACCTCAGATACCACCACGTAGCTGCTCGTCGCTTCGAAGCGCCAGCAAACATTTACAAGATGCCCCAGTGGAGTTTCTCCAAGGGGCTCAGTCTCATTCGCAGGCTCGGGTCGGTCGCTTCAGTGTCTCGACCTTTGTGGCCTGCGATAGCAACCTGTCCACGGCATAAAAGTATTCACGGAAGCTCTACGAACTGAGGGTCACGTCATAATGTCAGTCTACCTCTGAGTTCAATTTGCAGACCAACTCCGAGCTCGAAGGCCTGTCTTTGGCAGACGCATTTGGCTGGAGCTCCCAACGCTCTTTGAGCCACAAGCCACAGAAAAAGGCGTTCCTACAAGATTTCCGCATGAAGCAGAGTGCAAATCAGATGGAATCAGGCAAGAGGCTGCAGCTGCCATGAGCTGCCAGCTGCGACGGCCTTAGGTATTTCAATGGATATTAATCAGCATGCAGACATGATGGCATGCAGCGTCTGACTCTGAGTCTCAGTGCTACTCACAGCGCAGCTCCATTTTGAAGTATCACTTGCAAACGCTGCTTTTCCAGATATGAACTGACGCCGCTTACCAAACAGTGCTGCAAGCAGCCGTTCATTCTACTTGGCTATCTCCCGGTTATCTCTCGCGTGCCTCATCCTCGCATTTCGGGATCGGCTTAAACGACTCTTCACCCGATCCAAGTGGTGTCCCTGCGTCCCTTTCCTACATCGCTCGATGCAAACGGTCTGCTCAGATTGCGGTGCGAAAGCTGTGCTTTCGCGAAGTGAGCAGAGGGAGTGCTGGTGGCTTGTGTGCATGCGTAGTAGCAGTTCAGGACCGGCACGCGTACAGTTCAGCCACCCATATGGCCACGTGGCCGGAATATTGTACATTTGGTCAAACGGAGTAGTACTCCAACTAGCGCACATGTGTAAACAGCTCAACGTCGTAGTAGTGGTAGTCGTCGTCGTCGTAGTAATAGTAACAGTAGTAACAGTAGTAGTAGTAGTAGTAGTAGTAGTAGTAGTAGTAGTAACAGTAGTAACAGTAGTAGTAGTAGTAGTAGTAGTAGTAGTGGTGGTCGTCGTCGTCGTAGTAGTAGTAGTACTACT